TGGTAATTTACAAAAAAATCTTTAAATTACTTCCCCTTAAATTAAATAAATGCTCAGATTACCACCCATTTTAAAAATCCGGTGGATTTTCCGTCTGTGGGCCCGACCTAACGCTTATTTTAACCCTTTTGTCTGATTTTTTCCCCAATTTTCTCTTTAAAAAGGCTCTGCTAACTTCAATTCACATTTTTATCTTTAAAATTTAGTAGAATTTGGTGAACGAAATGTGAATTAAATTTTAGAGAACGTTTTTAAAGAGAAAAATTGGGGAAAAAATAAGTCAAAACGGTCAAAATAAGTGTTAAGGGGCCTACAGACGGAAAATTCATCGGATTTTTGAAATGAGTGGTAATATGAGCATTTATTTAATTTAAGGGGTGATAATTTAAAATAAAAAAAATTAAATGGGTGGTTAGTTCGAAAATGGTTACATTATTAGGAGGTAATTAAAATATTAATCTTGAAATTAAAACAAACTTAATTTTATGATTAGGAAAACCTTTTCTAGTCAAATTTGTTTTATCAAAAGATAAAATTTTATATGAAAAAGATAAAACCAAGTAAATCAGATTTTAAAGATAAAATCAACTAAAATACTTTTTCATAAACGTATTAAACTTATCTTTTACGAATTACTTAGCTCGTCATACTTTATCCGATTTCTAATAAGTCTCATGTATAACAACCAGATATATATTTACATCAACCTAGAAAACAAATTTATCTTTAATACAATCTAAGTTATGAAGTTCATCTTTTTCAGTTGATATCTCGAGCTCTGTATTGGTCCTTGATTGTTGAGGTTGTGTTCTAGCATTACACTGGAACCAAGTCGTTACAACCTTGTTGATATTTTCCACTCAAGGAACACCTTGAAGTTCCATCTAGCAATGTTCAGAGAACTCCTTTCTTGAACTCTTCTTCTAACTTTACTTGTCATCTTGGAACTTCTAAGGTTCCTTTGTTTCGGTCCTTACTTCAACTCCCAGAGTTTACTCATTCCGCAAACATCACAACACTAGAAAATTCTTAGTAGATAGAAGTTTGCTCAATCATTACCATCATCATCAAAACCTCATAAGGGTCAATATATTGTATTTTTCCTATTTTTTTTGAACGATTTTGGATTGTATTTAAGCGAACAAGATTGAGTAAAAAAAACACTTTAAGCAAAAGAGAAACTGAACGAATGTGATTCATTTTTTTTTCTCATTATTGACTAAAATAAAATCAAAATTCATAACGGTTGTGATTATATTTGATACAATGACCACAATTTTATTAGAGAAATTTGTGAAAAATGATCTTTTAAGTGGTTGACTTTTTATAAAATGACCTTTTAAGTGAAAAGTTGTGAAAAAGAACCTTTTAAGTTGTATTATGTTTTTAGGGGTACTTGGGTGAGTTTTCTTGGTGGTCAACGCCGAAACTCCGGTATTGGCTTTCACGTGTTAGTCACGTGTTTTAAAAAATTTTAAAAATTGTTTTTCCCCCATATTTCCCTCCTTTCTTGAACTACCTCTTTCATTTTTTTCCCCCTTTCTCCTTTTTAAATTTGCAGGGAAAATAATTTCTTATTTTTTTTTCAACTCACGCGTATTTTAATACATGAAAATCAATGTTGGAGCTCCGGCATTGACCACCTAGAAAACTCATTTAAGTACCCCCTAAAAACATAATACAACGTAAAAAAGTCATTTTTCACAATTTTTCACTTTAAATGTCATTTTACAAGAGTCCACTACTTAAAATGTCTTTTTCACAAATTTCTCATTTTATTATAAGCTTTCAAAAGTCATCCCACATTTATAATGTTTAATTGTTTTAAATTGAACTTAGTAAATTGGATTTGTGGTATTATTATATAGGCACAAAGTGTTTCCCTAGTGTAGCATCCACAAAATTGACCGAAAGAGAGTTCACCGGACACATCAACTTGTTACTATAGCTTTTTCTAGTATTACTACCTCCGTTATATATTATGTACAACGATAGGTAGTATTTAAAAATTCTTGAAAAGTAAAGGCAGGCGAGGATCAAAAGGCTACATGCCTACATCTCCGTACTATAAGAAATTATAAGTGCCCAAAAAAAAGAATAAAAAATTACTGTTAAATATGGAAGAGAAAATGTAGAGAGATGAGGGAAGATTGTTACGTTATATTTCATATTCTATCTAGTACGGGATATATATACATGTACATTACTTAGGGTTCCATCAACGGATAAGACCAAATACCCAACTCTAGAGTATTCTAGATAGCACATGGGATAATAGTCATCCACATTTAGATAGTTTCGTAACACTCCCCCTTGGCCTGGATGACTATATATTGAGTAAAATAATAACATTTACTATAAATCCAGTACAAAATAATACACTATAATGCGCATAAGATGTTGCCTCGTTAAAAACCTTACCAGGAAAACCTAGTGGGAAAAAACCATGGTTAAGGAAAAAAGAGTGCAGCACGCATTAATTCCCCCTCATGACTACATCACTTGAGATCTTTAAGACGACACAATCCAATGTCGTAAGCTAAATTTTTGAATGTTGCTGTCGGGAGAGCCTTAGTAAATAAGTCTGCTAAATTCTCACTTGAACGAATTTGCAATACATTTATATCTCCATTCTTCTGAAGATCATGAGTGAAGAAAAATTTGGGTAAGATGTGCTTTGTTATTTCGCCTTTGATATATCCTTCCTTAAGTTGAGCAATACAAGCTGCCTTATCCTCATATAATTAAAGTTGTTGGTGCCTCTTTCCTAGATGTTAAACCACAAACTTCTTTTATATGTTGAACTATCGACCTTAACTATACACATTCACGACTAGCCTCGTGAATTGCTAAAATCTCAGAATGATTGGAAGAAGTAGCTGCAATGGTTTGTTTCATGGAACGCCAAGAAATGGCACTACCACCATATGTGAACACATATCCAGTTTGTGACCGACCATTATGAGGATCAGATAAATAACAACATCTGCAAAACCAATCAAATTTTCTTTGGACAGCTTTGGGAAAAATAAATCCATATCCTTCGTACCTTGAAGGTAACAAAGTAAATGTTTAATCTCATTCCAATGCCTTCGGATTGGACATGAACTACACCTTGCTAATAAATTAACTGAAAATAATATGTCGGGTCGTGTATGACTTGCAAGGTACATTAATGCTCCAACTGAACTAAGATACGGTACTTCATGACCAAGAATTTCTTCATCATTTTCCCGAGGTCGGAATGGATCTTTCTCTACTTCAAGTGATCTTACAACCATAGGGATGCTCAATGGTGTGTTGTATCCATAGAAAATCTTTTAAGAACCTTTTCTATGTATTTTGATTGATGCACAAGGATTCCATTCTTTAGGTGCTCTATTTGTAACCCCAAGAAGAATTTTGTCTTTCCTAGATTTTTCATTTCGAACTCTTTCTTTAAATAATTGACAGTCAGTGAAATCTCTTCGGGAGTTCCAATGATATTCAAATCATCAACATACACTACAATTATAAAAAATCTCGATCCAAATTTCTTTATAAAAGTACATGGACTGATAGGATCATTCTTATAATCTTCTTTCAACAAATACTCACTTAGACGGTTATACCACATACGCTCAAATTGTTTCAATCCATAAAGAGATTTGTTCAATTTAATACTGAAATGTTCTCGAGAACTAGATTTTTCTGCTTCTGGCATCTTGAATCCTTCTGGGAGCTTCATGTAAATGTCATTATCCAGTGGGCCATATAAATAAGTTGTGACTACATCCATCAAACGTAACTCAAGTCCTTCTCTTATTGCCAGACTAATCAAAAATCTAAAAATAGTTGCATCCACCACAGCAGAATATGTCTCCTCATAATCAATACCAGGTCTTTGTGAGAATCCTTGTGCAACTAAGCGTGCCTTATATCTTACAACTTCACCCTTTTCATTTCTCTTTCGCACAAATACCCATTTATATCCCAGTGGCATTACACCTTCAGGTGTATGGACTACAGGTCCAAATACTTCTCTTTTTCCAAGAGATTTTAATTCTACTTCAATTGCTTCTTTCCATTTTGGCCAATCATTTCTTTGTCTACATTCTTCAATGGATTTTGGTTCATGATCCTCATTATTATCCATAACATCTAATGCTACATTGCATGCACAAAATCATCGACGTCGATTTGATTTCGGTTCCCTGTAATTCCAGACATGATATCATTATCAGGTACCTGAATTTCTTCATGTATCATGTCTAAAGTCTCTTCTGGAGATCCTTCGAAAATTATTTCTTCAATTTGACCTTCATCAATCAATGCTTCTTTTTTTTCGAGGATTCTTATCTTTGGAACCTATTGGTCTTCCACGTTTCTGACATGGTTTAGACTCATTTGCAAATTTATTTTGTTCTTCCAGGACATCTATTTTAAATGGAGCATTTACAAATGGAATATGTGACTTAGTCACTCAGGTTAGCAAACGAGTCTGGCAATTGATTTGCTAAACTCTGTAAATGAATTATCTTTTGAACTTCCAGTTCACATTGTTTAGTTCGGGGATTAAGATGGGATAATGATAATTCATTCCATTTAATTTCCTTTTCTAGCTCTCTTTTTTTCTCCCCCTAATCATTAGTGGAAAAAAGGTCATCCGTAACGGACAAAAAGGGCCCATCCGTAACAGTCAGCGTCCACTACGTATGCAGCCGTTACGGATGGCCATTATTATTCGTAACGGGCACTTACAATGTCCGTTACGAATAACTACTTATTCGTAACGGGTGTTTCAGGTGCTCGTTACGAATAAGTAGTTATTCGTAATGGAAATTGTAAGTGCTCGTTACGAATAACTACTTATTCGTAATGGAAATTGTAAGTGTCTGTTACGAATAAGTAGTTATTCGTAACGGACAATTACAATGTCCGTTACAAATAATCTCTGAAAAAGACAAAAAAATTAGGGGCATTTGTAACTAGCATTTCAGGTGCTAGTTACAAATACCCCTATTCTTCTTTCCATTTACCACCCAAATTATTATAATAATTTATAACAAATCCAAATATTTCATGCCATAAACATATTATCAAACATAACATATACACCAAATTGGATTTCAAATAAAATTCTTCTTGATTGAAGCAACCGACATAGCTACATAGATTAAAGGAAAATTTAAGAAAATAAGTTAGAGCCTTCTTAAATAAAGACAATAAGGTCAAAAGTACAAGAAAAAAGTATGCTGCCAATTATTTGTTTCATCAAGCTTTTCGTGAATAACAGTTCTCGGAGTCTCATTTCCACATATGCTCAAATCTTCTGCTTCCTTAGTACATCTTGTTTCTTGAGGAATTGGTTGAAAAAAAAAGGTCAATGATCATTCATATATAATACAGCATTATGTTCACAAAGACATAACACGACAAACAGGTAAACTCATGCAAATGGAAAACATAAATCAAGAGTTTTAGAATTCTCACTTAATGGAAAAAAATAATTATCACATAGCTTTTCCAATCGGAGTAGAATATCCTTCTGTGGGGTACTATTCAAAACATCACTTTTATTATCAGGTTTCAAGTGAAATTCATGCTCATCAACAACGGCAATAGTATCAACTTCTGGGTTGTGCTCACACTGCTCAGACACCTTAGTGCAGAAAATCTAAGAAAATAGCAAGCTTCATGTGAAAAAGGAAAAAAAAACAGTCTAACCAATACAAAGTACCATTGCAGTTAGATTGAAGGTTGTTGTTCCGGGCTTGACCATAAGTGAATCCGTAAGCACTTGATATTGCCGGATAAGAAACATTTCCACCAGCCCAAGGAAAGATAGAGACGACATACATATTTGTCCCTCCAAAGCTCCCGCCAACAGGAGCACGCTGGAACCCAGGATGTGATGCTGTTGGAGCACCACCATTAATATCAGTAGGCGTTGCTCCTGAAATTAATGTTGAGGTATTCAAAAGAGGCGGCCCAGGTGCTTGCACTGGTGCACTAGGAGCACATGGTTGTACCGTAACTTGTCCTAGAGGCACCCCATAAACTGTAAACAATTTGGAGCTGTTAACAAAAAAAAAAGTAGCTTACTGTAATGTAATTAATGAGACAGAGAAAATAGCAAAACAAAAAATAAATATCTCCTGTAATGCAATCAAACTTATGCTCATCTTTTAATAATTGATGCAAAAAAGAAAATGCAAAACCAAGTATATACAATACTTCAGGTTAGCATGTAAGATCTGCTGCAGATCGAAACAAAATACTTGAGTACACAAAGCCAAATCTATAACATTAGTCTACAAGTACAACATATCAGTAAATCACCAAAAAGTTAAAGCGTCTGTGTTAATCTTGCATAGTTTCAGTTTGAGTGGCACAAGGTATCACTATCGTCCATGATGTTTGTTCAAAAGGACAAGAATACCACTAGACCATCAACACACAATCCCTTTTATAATGGTGAGTGACTGAGTGTATCTTCTTTTACAAGGAAAACAAAAAATGACTGAGTGACTGATTGTCTCCAAACATCAATGGATCAAGAAACCTAACAATGTTTCATTCCACTGAGCTATCTCATTTTATTCGAAAATGTAGCAATTAAAACTTACATGTACATTCCAAAAAATTATCAATCATACCAGCCAAGTTGAGAATCTTGTGCTCGCTCTTTGAGCTGCTTCAATATTTTCTGTTGTGTTGGTTTCAGGCTCATACCACATCACATCTAACGCTGCTCCAATTGATCCGCGTTGTTTTCTCTGCCAATTTCACATAATATATAGAATTTAAACGACTAACTAACCATATCATTAGTACTTGAATCAAGTTAACTCATCATTTACATGTACATGATAATGTCAAAGGGTGATCTTTACATCAAAACAAAGTAGATAATTCACAATATAAGTACATGTACCTGGTACTTTCTCCTGTAAATGTCGACTGCATTAGCATGAGCAAGAAGCAGGTGATGAGCAACAATATAAGGCTCAGAAGCAGAGTTCCCTGCCCTGCAAAACAAGTGGAGGAGGATGGAGCATCGCCCTGGAGCGAATATGGCTATGTCATAGCCTTGAGATGCAACTGAATGGGGCTCGTTTAGTGTTATCCAGCGCTTAACCCTGTCCCCAAACTTCTGATATAGAATCTCCGCGAAGACTCCAAAATCATTCTACTCAATTCATACTATGTCAAAGCATAATTATGTAATGCTCAGTAAGGCGTTCTGCAAAGTAGAGAGGAGTTTCTCTCCCCCACATAGTCCCTCAGTATCCCATCCAGCTCTTTCTGCATAAAAAAGAAAAGAAAAGCATTTTTATCAACAAATTGGCAACAACGACAGACAATTAGGACCATACCCGTCAATCAATAGTACATGTGGAGTTCTTTCAACATTTTGGATTTTTCTTCTATTTAAAAACTCTGCATGGCTAATAACCTAAAGTATTGCAAAATTAACTATGTCAAAGCCTAATTTGAATAAGTTCTTCAAATACAACATTCTCAATATCTCACCTTCTTCATTCATAGTATCATAGGCAAATTTCTTACTAATCTATAGTTTTCCAATATGATTATCTTTAGAATATGAAAATTTTCTATTACACTGAAATAAGGGGCCACATAAAGATAAATTGCAAGAAGGAAAAGGGTAAATAATATAAAAATTTCCTATCCCTTACCCAATCGAATCAAAACTTGTTAATGAACACAAAATACACCATAAAAGAGAGGAGATGACCTCTAGATCGTTGTACAGTGATTTCATCTCAGTCATTTTACCCAAAAATACATGCAACTCACTCCAATAAGCAACAAACACCCAAAAATGAAATCAGCCACACAAAGTTAAACCTCACTTTTCAACATGTTTTTTTTTTAAGAATAACAACCATCACTTTTCAAAACTGAGTCCCCAACTAACTCCAAATTCAATGCCAATCACATCATCAATTACTTCTTTTTCTCTAATAAACCCGACACTCCACATCAATTTCTCAAAATATTCTAACTTTATCAATTCATTTATCAAGAACAACAAATTCTCATTATAGCAAATTAATTGGAAACTTGTACGGAGCAGATAAATATATTACTTCCGGGAACATATCAAATTATCAACTTTATAAGTGACTTTGGAAATTAGAAATTGAGTGCATTTATTAAAAATGCAAATGACTATGTTGAATACAATTGTAAGTTAGAACCTATTTTTGAAAATGCTGTGATTTCTAGAATCAATAATTCAAAAGGTCGTAAATGAAAATTTGTCCAAGATATTAAACAAACCCAACATCAAATTCATCAACATTTTTGTGGGCTAAATCCTTACATTAACAAAACAATGGAAAATTCATATTCAATCCAATCAAATCCACCAAAAATAACAATTAAAAAACAAAAAAAATGAAAATAAACCTAAAATTCATCATCACTGGATAGAGCGCGGAAAGCGGATTCAAGTTCAGTAAGAGCATGCATTAGGGTTTTCGGCACATACTTTCCCCAAAATTTCCCAAACCTTCCAAATGAATCGGGTCGTTGAAAAATGCCCAAATCAGTCTCATCCTCCGTCGCCGCTTTGGAAGCCAAATCAGGGGCCATAACACAGCAAATTGAACGACAATTTGGGGATGATTTTAGGGTTTTTGATTGCGATTGAAAAGAGAGATTGAAGGGTGAATTTGAGATCCAAGTAGAATGGTAGGGTTTTGGTCCTAATTAAAGAACAATGCAGAAAGAGAGAGTGATTTGAGGAGAGAGAAAGAGAAGAGGAGTGAGGAAGAAATGCGGCTGGGAAGTGGCCTGGGAACATATCTTTAACCCTAAAGAGTTATTTAGATGTAACGGGCTTTATATTTGTCTATTACAATTAATAACTATTCTTATCGGGCATTTATTTGCCCGTTATAATTATTAATTATTCGTAACGAACATTTGTTTGCCCGTTACAAATAAGTTTTTCCGTAACGATCAAATATTTTGCCCATTACAATTACACTTTTTGTAACAGATTTTATCATGCCCTTTACAAATAGGGTGTTACAAATGACAATTTTTCCACTAGTGAATGTTGGGAAAAGTGACTCGTTAAAATGACAATATGCAAAACGAGACATAAATAAATCCCTTGTTGTAGGCTCAAGATATTTAATCATTGAAGGGGATTCAAACCCAACATATATCCCCAACCTCCTTTGAGGACCCATCTTAGAGCGGTGTGGTGGAGCTATTGGAACATAAACCGCACATCCAAAAATTCTTAGATGGGAAATATTTGGTTCCTAACCATAAACCAATTGTAATGGGGAGAACTTGTGATAACTTGTTGGCTTAATGCAAATTAGTGTTGTTGCATGTAATATAGCATGTCCCCAAGCAGAAATTGGGAGATTGGATTTCATAAGCAATGGTTTAGCAATTAACTAAATACGTTTAATTAATGACTCTGCAAGACCGTTTTGTGTATGAACATGAGCTACAAGATGTTCAACATTTATCCCAATGGACATGCAATAATCGAAAGATTGAAATGTAAATTCACCAGCATTATCAAAGCCGAATAGTCTTAATAGGAGTATCTGGAAAATGTTCCCGTTACTTAATCAATTGGGCAAGTAATCTTGCAAACGCCAGGTTACGAGTTGATAATAAAGACACATGTGACCATCTAGTTGATGCATCAATTAAAACCATAAAAAATGGTCCACGTGAGGGATGTATGGACCCACAAATATCTCCTTGTATACGTTCCAGAAAACTAATTGATTCAAAATTAATTTTAGCTGGTGATGGGCGAATAATCAACTTGCCTTTTGAGCAAGCAGCACATGAAAAATTATTATGAAGAATCTGTTGGCTCTTCAAAGAATGTCCACATGAATTCATAATTATTTTTCGCATCATTATTGAACCGAAATGGCCTAACCGGTCATGCCAAACAACAAAATCATCAGTAAACTTCTGTTTACTATAGCATGAGTCTCAATAGCATTGATTTTTGTGTAGTACAAACCACGCACTGGAGAATGTAGGTAATTTCTCCAAAACATGTTTTGAGCCTTGAGTTATATTTGTGATTTGAAGGAATTCGTTATTTTCTTCATTGATTGTCTCAATATGATAACCATTGTTGCAAATATCCTTAAAACTTAATAAATTTCTTTGAGACAATGGGGAGTATAAAGCATCAATTATTTTAATTTTAGTTCCCCAAGGCAATTTTATAGTGGCTCTTTCGGAGCCCTCAATGATATTTGTACTACCCGATATGGTACTCACATTAGTCCTTTACATCATCAAATGAGAGAAATATTTTTATTTTTAAGTATTGTATGAGTAGTTGCACTGTTAGCAAAACATAATTCTTCACCATTCATAGCAAATTGAACTTGAGTAATATCCATGGTCTTCATGAAATAAATACATGTCAAAATATTAAGCATAAAAATAAAGATGATAAAATAAATAAATCAATAAAAACACTCAAATAGTTCATAAATTTATAAAGCAAAAGTCCTTATTACAACGAAAGAAATAAACTTAAGTACATCACTAGAATAAGCAAACATAAGTCTAATACTTAAAACGGACACAAAACAATATAATATTAATTATTCCCTTATGGGGCAGTGAAGAAATCAGCAACTTCTAAATGAGTTGTATTGTTGAAATCAAAATTATTCCCTTCCGAGGAAGTAAGGAAATTAGCAACATCGAAATGATTTGCATTGCCAAAATCAAAATCACATTCACCATCTTCAAGAACAAGGTTTGCCTCAACTTTCTTTTCTTTTCTTCAATGATTCTTAGTAAAGTTCAACAAGATGCTTTGGAGTTCTACAAACCCGAGGCAAATGACCTTTTCCTCCACAACGGTAACATATATTGGTCTCACTTTTCTCTTTATCATCCCTACGTTCCCACTTCTGGTGGGAACTTGAATTTGTGTAATGACCTCCACGACCTCTATCATATCCATTAAAACCATGCCCACGATCGTGACCACGCCATTGGCCACGACCGCGACCACGACCTCTACCTCGACCACTACTACTAGAATGATCTCTATTTTTAGATTCTTTCCCGTTATGGGCTGTCACATTCGCTTCAGGGAATGGATTAGAGCCAGTAGGACGTGATTCATGATTTTTCATTAACAGCTCTATTTTGCTCAGCCACAAGAAGATAAGATATTAATTCAGAATATTTTTTAAAACCTTTTTCTTTATATTGTGTCTGCAGGACAATATTTTTTTTTTTTTTTGGAAAAGTTAAAAATTATATTAATTCTCCAAAAGGTTATACCAAACCAGCTGCCAATCAAGCAGCACCAAAACAAACGAAAAAACACTAGACAAAAAGAACTAGCTATACATCATCTTCCTAAACCATTCTACATTGCTTCTACTAATTTTTGCAGGTAGGACAAACTCAATTCTTTGCCTAATATCTGTCAAAAGCTCTTCAATCACCTTCTCAGGACATCTGATACACTTGTCCCACACAGCCCTATTCCTTTCCTTCCATATAACATACAATAAGCCTGCATATAAAGATTGAAAAACCTGCCTTTTGAATCTGCCAGTAATCAGATTCAGAGCATCATTACACTCCTCTAAAGAGCTAGGATCCAACCGCACCTTCAGCCTATGAGCTAGTAAATTCTTACACATCCTAGCATACTCACACTCAAAGTACAGATGCTCAACCCATTCATCTGCATTCTGACAGAGAGGACAACTAGCATCAGCACTTACACCAATTCTGAACAGGAGAGCCTTAACTCTGATTTTCTTCAAAAGGATCATCCAGCAAATGAATTTATGCTTAGGTATATTAAACCTATTCCACACCCAATTACACCAAGGCACCTCATTGCAGGACAATATTATTAGCATGGAAAGTGGAGTATGTCTTTTCAAGCATTTCTGCATCAGTAATATTTTCTCCACATAATTTCAATTGAGAAGTTATTTTAAACATAACTAAGTTATATTCAGTAACAGATTTAAAATCTTGCAATCTTAAATTCAACCATTCATAACGAGCTCTAGGAAGTATCTCTGTTTTTTGGTGGTCATACCTTTTCTTTAGATTACTCGTCCAAAGGATTTGTGGGTCTTTCATAGTTAAATATTCATTTTTAAGTCCTTCATGGAAGTGATGGTGAAGGAATATCATGGCCTTAGCCTTATCTTGAGGTGTTGCCTCATTAGCCTCTTTGATTGTTTCACCAAGCCCTTTAGCATCTAGATGTATTTCAGAATCTAACACCCATGATAAATAATTCTTTCCGGCAATATCAAGGGCCACAAATTCAAGCTTGACAAGGTTTGACATTTTTCACTCAACGGGAGGGGAAAAAAAAACTAATGTGTACGAAGTTCTATATATATTATTGATTGATGTTTTCTCCGATTTCCGATAACTAAAGCAATGGTGCTGATAACGTGTTAAATATGGAAGAGAAAATATAGAGAGATGAGGGAAGATTGTTACGTTATATTTCCATCTAGTACGGAATATATATACATGTACATTACTTAGGGTTCCATCAACGGATAAGACCAAATACCCAACTCTAGAGTATTCTAGATAGTACATGGGATAATAATCATCCATATTTAGATATTTTCATAACAATTACTAGTGCAGAAGATTAAAGAAGAATATATTTTACTTCATTATCCAGCAACTCACAGCAGCCTGTGATTTTCGATCGAAAGTTCTCAGATCCAAGATTCGGTCATGGTGTGAACTACTTGCTCTTATAGTCACCTCAAAGCAATCTACTTCAATTTTGCAAGTCATTGCCATATCTAGGAATTAACTGTCGTAGCATTAGGCATTGTTCAATTGGAAGAAAACTCAAGTGAATCAAAGAAAAAACAAAATCATCACTAGTTATTATAGACGATTCCACCTTTTGGTGTGCTTTTTTTTACTTCAAACATCTTAGATGCATTACTAGTTATTACAGCACTGCTATAAAATACTAGTCATTAACTATTCTAGTTTTTTTACTTCCAACTTTTTTTACTTACGGAGTATGTGTTACGACTTACGAGTATTAAAATGAATGACTATGACTACGGGTGTATGCAGCTTCATACTACACCATCAAGAACAGTATATTGATTGACAAGGAGCTGCAATGAAACCAAGAGATCCTTACTTCATAGGAAACTGAGGAGACAAACAAATTATTATTATACCAAACCAATAATGATACATTAATATAGCCAAAATAAAGAAGGCCACTATATAATCAGAGTAAGACATTCCTAAAAATAAAAATAAAATAAAAAAAATATCATAGTAGGACTTGAACCAAAAGAGCTTGGCATCCTAAACCAAAAGATTTCTGACAAATTACTGTGTTTAGCCAAGGTGCTAAGCGAACACTTCGACGACAAGGAATGAAGTCCTTACTTGAAGAAGAGAGATATTGACCAAAGAACTTGATCTCACAACCAGAGGGATTATGAAGGCGGAAGAATTTCTCACACAACACTTCTTCTTGCCTTGGGACGACTTTTGCTTTATAACCTTGTATTATAACATGAACCGATAGCAATTCTAACACCTTTCCGCAATTCAAAATGTACTTTATCATCTCAAAATCAGCATCAGTCTCACTAATATATCTTATATCAATCCTCTTTAACCGACTCCAGCAAGGGCTGCAACAAGAAGGCCAATGCTCGGCTGCATCCCTTTTTTTTTAACTCTCTCGAAATATCTACTTGGAGCACCTCTAAAGAGGGACAGCATCGTGGTAAAAGCACCTCATCATTCCAGCATTGACTATTACTATACACACGAATTTTTAGATTGTATAACTTATCAAATATAGGAAGATCGTCGTACTCTAAGCTATTAAAAGCCTTCAAAGCATTGGTGTCTAGGTTTAGTGATCTCTCACCAGAAATCAACTGCGCAAGTCTTGCTATACGACTAAGGATATCATTTTCCTTAATAAATTGATTACCAAATAAAATATCTGCTTTTGTTAATGCACTAGAATACCCAACAAAATGAACAAGCGGCAAATGAGAAACATATAATGTCATTTCTTCAATCTTTGACAGATTACTTACAAGTTTTTCTCTTGGTTTGGGTATATTATATGGGCGAACACCATCTACGACATACGCTCGTATAACCAGTTTCTTGATTTTATGAGCCGATAAATCAATAAAATGCTCAGTTTTTTCATAAACAATCGACAGGTTTAAATCTTCCAATAGTGGGCAATCCCGAATAATTTTAGGCAACAATAACATATTGCAATATCCAGATAAATCAAGTTTCTTTATATTAGGAAGATTCACAGTGTATTCTCGAACAGAGATTGACACTAGTTTTAGATTGATAGTATTAGGGTATGTCAATATAAGCACAACCAGAGATTGACATTGAAAAATACAAGAACGCGTAAAAGAAAAACCACCTTCTATTAGACTCGGTTTGGTTCTATTTATGTTAATATTATATTCATGTTAATATGTTAAGTTTACCTTTTTAGGAGTTTTAGGCTAATTAGGTTTCCTAATGTATTGGGTATATATATGTGATAATTATCAATGCAAAAGGGTTAAGCCGTTTTCTCCAGATTTCCTTGAGTTTAACATGGTATCACAGCCTCTCTAAAATTTTAGAGATTTCTCGATCCTGGTTTGTTCATCTTCGTTGTTTTTAATTACCGCATTATTTTTCTGAGATTAAGGCTTCAAAATTTAATTTAATTCCACAAATTAAATTAATTTTCTGGTTTGTTTTAGATCGAAATTAGGATTCCAAAACCACATTTTCTGATTTATTTATTTTTTAATCGGGTGCTACTTTGTTAGTGCTCTGTGTTTGTGGTGTGCAATTGCATGCTACTGTTTGTTTTGTGTGGGTGGAGTGTTATTGCGTGACGTGCTTTGTGTAGTGCGCTGCATTGTTGTGTGTGGTGCTTTGTTGGGTGTAGTGTTGCTGCCTTGTTGTTTGTGGTGTGTGCTTTGCTTGCTGTGTGTGCCTACGCTGCTAAGGGTGCTTTGTGTAGTGCGCTTTCTTGTGGCAGTGCGTTGTGGTGCGTGAGTTTGGCGGGCTGTCCTTTTATATGTGTTGTTTATGGCTCGTGTCTTGGTGTAATGGCTGGCGGCAATGATAATACACCTCCTCCTAAATATGAGCCTTTCACCGATTACTATCTTCATCCGACTGAAGGTTCTCAATTGGTGATTTGTCCCGTGTTGCTTACCATCGACAACTATGAAGTGTGGTCGAGGTCAATTCGCAACAATCTTCGGTCCAAGAGCAAGCTCGGGTTTGTTGACGGTTCTATTGTTCTACCCGATCCCAAGCATCCTAATTTTCGTCAGTGGGGTATTGTTAATTCTACTGTTGTTGCTTGGATTTATAATACTCTTGATGTTAGTATTCGTTCTACTGTTATTATTCCTGATAATGCAAAAACTTTGTGGGATGATTTGCGGGATTGTTATTCTCTTGGTAACGGTCCTCGTATATTTGAATTGAAACATGATATTGCTGATTGTAAGCAACGAACTCGTTCGGTTGCGGTTTATTATGGTGAATTGAACAAATTGCAGAATTTGTTGTCTAGTTATGTCAAGTTGTCTGTTTGTACTTGTTCCGCTGCGAAAGAATATGCTAAGTTGTATGAGGATGAATTATTGCAACAGTTCTGTCTTGGTTTGGAACCTAAGAAGTTTGGTTCTGTTGTTTCTACATTGTTGATGAGTGATCCTTTGCCTTCTATGAATGATGCTTATGCTAAAGTTGTTGCTGAAGAGTGTAAGAAAACTGTGTCTGAAGCACATGAGTCCTCTTCTTCTGCGACTAATGGTTTTAATGCCACAGGTACGGCTTCCGGTCGCACTTCCGACCGGATGGAGTGTACTTATTGTAAACGGTCTGGTCATGATAAGGACAACTGCTACCAGCTTCATGGCTTCCCTGGTGGGGGGCGTGGAGGTCGTGGTGGTCGCGGGGGTCGTGGAGATAGTGGTGGACGGTCGTATGGAAAGGGCAAGGGGGAGTTTGCTGGTGCTGCTGGTAGTTCTCGTGGTAATAATGAGCCGGTTTCTGATTCCGATCGTGGGAGTGTTCCAACGCTTTCTGATGTTCAATGGAAAGAACTCATGTCTGCGGTAAAGGGTACCAAGTCTGGTTCTTCGTTAGATGGAAACAAACTTGGTACGTATAATTCCATTGATACTGGAGCTTCAAATCATATGTCTAGTAATATTGATCTTTTCACTGATTTACATGACATTTCTTCGCCCGTTGGTTTACCCAATGGGAAGAGCACGACAGTAACAAAGGAAGGAAGAGTTATTTTGTCTGATAAATTAATTCTTAATAATGTTTTATATGTTCCCGCTCTTAAATGCAACTTGTTATTTGTGTCTCAATTGTTAGAAAAAACAATGCTATTTTATTATGTTCACTGACAAGCTATGCATTATTCAGGACCGCAGTTTGAGGAACCTGATTAGAGCGGAGGACAATATGATGGGGTCTATATTTTTCGTCCGGTTTGTGCTCAGAATCTGCAGGCGAACAAAGTAGTTGTTTCATCAGATGCAAGTTTGTTATGGCATAGGCGTCTCGAGCATCCGTCAATGTCTGTTGTGAGCTCTCTTCCGGGAGTTTCTAGTAGTTCTAGTACTCATAGTAGTAACTATGTTTGTTCTTTTGCTTGTGACATTTGTTTTATGGGGAAGCAACCCCGAAACTCTTTTCCGTTAAATTTGAATAAAGCATCTGGAATTTTTGATTTAATTCATTGTGATATTTGGGGTCCGAATAAGATTGTTTCTAGTTGCGATGCTCGTTATTTCCTAACCATTGTTGATGATTTTTCTCGTGCAACTTGGGTGTTTTTGATGGTTGGTAAATATCAGGCTTCTCAGTTGGTTCGTGAGTTCTGTGCTATGGCTAAGACTTAATTTGGCAAGAAAGTGAAGGTGATTCGAAGTGATAATGGCCAAGAGTTTCTGAGTTTGGGGTCGTTCTTTTCACAAAAGGGTATTCTGCATCTGACATCGTGTGTTGACACAACTCAACAGAATGGTAGAGTTGAGTGTAAACATCGTCACATTTTAAATGTGGCCCGTGCTCTTCGGTTTCAGGCAAAGTTGCCGAAGTATTTTTGGGGTGAGTATGTTATGACTGCGGTCCATCTTATTAATCGCACTCCAACGACGGTTTTGAAAGGTAAAACCCCTCATGAGCTTTTATTTGGTCAGTTACCTTCGTATGATAATTTGCGGGTTTTTGGTTGTCTAGCTTATGCTGCTAATCGTCCTCAGATTAAGGACAAGTTTGATTCTCGGAGTCGTAAATGCATATTTGTTGGGTATCGAAAATAAGGGGTGGCGTCTCTTTGATTTGGAAACTAACGAGTTTTTTGTTAGTCGTGATGTTCAATTTTTCGAGGATAAATTCCCATATTTGGAATCGCTTCCCGATGATCGACGGTTGTTGTGGGAAAAATATTTTTCGACTCCGCCATTGTGGGATGAATTTGATGTGGTTGATGTTGGTATAAATGGGGCGTATGTGGGGGTTGAGACCCCCGAAACAGCCCACCCCACAACCCGGCTGCGGCAGCAGCAAACCAGCCATAACCGGGCTGTGGAGCGGCCTGCCAGCGCCCGAGCCAGCAGGGGCTGACATTCCAGCTCGAGCTTCTGTTCAGCCCGCTGGAATGCCAGCGCCTGCTGGCTGGCAGCAGCGTGGCAGCACACAGCTGTAGCAGGGCAGCAACATGGAGCACCCTGCCCAGCCACCCCCTTCCCAGTGCCAGCTGCGGCAGCCAGCTCCGCCACCTACACAGTCCCCGCAGGTGGCTGCCTTGCCAAAACAGTACCCTACCTTGCCTAAAAAAATTCTGGCGACCTCCGACGAGGATGATAATCACAATTTAAGACCGAGAGTTGTTCTAGAGCGAGCATTGATCGATGAGGATATTTTTATTTCGCCGGAATACTTAAGGGGGAGTTCGTCGGATAATTTGGGTCGCGGTCATCGCGAAAAACGACCTCCAGCGTGGCATCGGAATTATGTCACTCATACTATCATCTCTGAAAATATAGACCCCGCTACTTCAATTGTCGACCCTCCTCAGTCACATTCCTCAGGTAAACCTTTCCCTATAGTTTGTCATGTTCAATATAATCGTTTTTCTAATAGACACAGGTGTTTTTTGGCTACGATAACCAAGGGAAAGGAATCGTCTTCTTTCAAAGAAGCGGTTAAAGACGTCGGTTGGCGCAAGGCAATGCAAGATGAGATTGATGCTCTAGAACGCAATGGCACATGGACCGTTGAGGATCTTCCTCCCGGAAAAAGAGCGATTGGCAGTGGTTGGGTGTACAAGATCAAGTACACCGACAAATCAAAGGTGGAACGTCTCAAGGCTCGGTTAGTTGTTTATGGCAATCGACAGGTTGAAGGTGTTGATTATAATGAGACGTTCGCTCCTGTTGCTAAGATGGCTACGGTACTTCTTATTAACTGTTGCAGTATCTTTGAATTGGGAGTTACATCAGATGGATGTTCATAATGCATTTCTTCATGGTGATTTGGATGAAGAAGTATACATGTAGTTTCCTCCAGGGTACGGTACTCCGACACCTGGCAAATTTTGCAGGTTGTGGAAGTCTTTATATGGCTTGAAACAAGCCCCGAGACAGTGGTTTTCTAAGTTGTCGAGTGCTCTGCGAGGCTTTGGGTTTAAGAATTCATATGTTGATTACTCTTTTTTCAGTTATGTACAAGGAAGTGTCTCTTTGCATTTTCTTGTATATGTCGATGATTTGATTATTGCCGGCTCCTCACACGATGCTATTGTTCGATTTAAAGCCTATTTATGCAAATGCTTCTATATGAAGGATTTGGGTTTGCTAAAGTATTTCTTAGGCATCGAGGTTGCTCGGAGTCCGGAGGGCATTTTTCTTTCTTAAAGGAAGTATGCTCTAGATATTTTGACTGAGGCATGAATGTTGGGTTGTAAACCCATTGATACTCCGATGGAGCAGAATCATCGTCTTGCTCATGCTTCCGGGGAGCCGTTCGCTCATCCGGACCAGTATCGTCGTTTGGTCGGTCGTTTGGTTTACTTGTCGGCCACTCGACCGGAGTTGAGTTACTCAGTGCATGTTTTGGCTCAGTTTTTGAGTGTTCCTCAGGTTTCTCATTGGGATGCGGCCATTCGTGTCTTGCGCTATCTTAAGGGTAGTCTGGGACAAGTTATTTTATTGAGACCTACGACGGATTTACGCTTGACGGCGTTTTGTGATAGTGATTGGGCGGCGTGCCCGTTTAATCGGCGTTCCTTGTCAGGTTATTTTGTTTTCTTAGGTCGTTCCCCTGTTTCTTGGAAGATTAAGAAACAGCCTACTGTCGCCACATCCTCGTCAGAAGTCGAGTACAGGTCTATGGCTCTTACTTCTCGTGATTTGAAATGGTTGAAAATGTTATTATTTGTTCTTGGCGTTAAGCATTCAAAGCCTATGCAGTTGTTTTGTGATAATCAGTCGGCTTTGCATATCGCTAAGAATCCGGTGTTTCATGAACGTATGAAACATATAGAGGTAGACTGTCATTTTGTTCGTGATGAGTTGGTAAACGGTAATATTTCTACCTCATATGTGTTGATGGGTCACCAGTTAGCAGATATTCTCACCAAGGCTCTTGGACGTCAACATTTTGATTTTCTATTATGCAAGTTGGGCATTCGTAACTTACATGCTCCAACTTGAGGGGGAGTATTAGAGTCGGTTTGGTTCTATTTATGTTAATATTGTATTCATGTTAATTTGTTAAGTTTATCTTTTTTAGGAGTTTTAGGCTTATTAGGTTTCCTAATGTATTGGGTATATATATGTGATAATTATCAATGCAAAAGGGTTCAGGCGTTTTCTCCATGTTTCCTTGAGTTTAATACCTTCTATCACAATCTGCTCTGGATTTCGGGTGCATATATCATTAATCCAAGAGTCTATATTCAAATACCGTACCTCATTATCTGTAACCTCGAGATGAAAACGGTGAATTTTTGGAAAAGGGAGTTGCGGAAGGATGCGATTTCGAGGAAGACAAGTTGGGGTGAAGACAACGTTAATGATGTGAGTCCAGAGGTAGCGCCATTGACGTGATAAGACAGAGGTGATTACAGCAGATTTGATTGGAAGGAGGGAGATAATAATCATAATATGTATGATAATTGTGTCTGGGAGTAAACTTAATTTGTCAATCGCCATTCTTTTTGGTTGCTTATTTTCTGCCATTTTCACTAGGGTTACGCAAACCGGAGCTTATGGAAATATTCTTATATACATTTTTGGTTTATAGTTAATTTTCTATAAATCCCGCCCCCCTTTTTTTTTGAGAAAACTTCTATAAATATAGTTGTAGAATATTTTTGGGTCAAAAAAAGTTGTAGAATATTTTATTTTAATTAACGGAACCTTTTAAAAATAATCTTCCATATATAATAATACTGTAGTATATGTGCATCAATATAGACAATATTAACTTATCTTTCCACCAATGATCTTCTTAAAATGATATTATTGTAGAATATCTATAATCATATATTTTTTCCCGAGTTTTTAGAGAGCCGCAAAAGATTTAATTTTCTTAACGCGACATGTAGGATTATAAATTTTAGTGGTAGCCAATTAAATAAGAGATTATTAAATTCTTTTACCCATATAGGATTTAATTTTCTTTGCTCGCCATGTAGAATTATAAATTTTAGTGGTAGCCAATTAAATAAGATATTATTAAATTCTTTTATGACTAAATAATTCCAATGCCACGGAAGCAAAATTGACAAATGGGATTTTAAAGTTTAAATTAATTAAAAATAAAATATTATCTTTTGACATTAAAATTTAATCTTAATATATACCAAATTTTAGCACATAAATAAACAAAAATTTTGTTTTAAAAAATTCAATTAAACTGTGTGTTGCTCGAGTTTTATCTAGCTATTTTATATTAATTATTATAATAGGTTACCAAATACTATACGTGAGTCAATATGGATAATAAAATAGTATTGTATTAAATTTAGGGTTACTATGTTAAACATTATGCCGTACTTCAATTATTAATAATATTAAAGGTCGTACAAAATTTAACAAAGGTTACTCTTTATGATTAAGGTTACTATGTTAAAATTAAGGTCACTATATTTAAAATACAATCAGTTGCGCCCGTACTGATCTTAGGTCTACAATAATATTATTGTGAATCATGTCGACACAATTTTTTTTCCTAATCTTTCTGATTTGGGGTATTTAATACCCCCAAGTGGACCAATGAGTAGGGATGTTCAAATCCAGGTACCCGTGTATTCGGGTACCCGAAAATCCGGGTACCCGGATCTTCGGGTAGTTTGATACTCGGCCCATGTCCCGACCCGAGAAGACCAGGTACCCGGGTTTCGGGTACCCACTTTTCTCGGGTCGGGTCATAGGGTACCCGGATGTCCGAATTAGATATGACAGTTTTCCAGATTAATATGTGAAAAATTATAAACAAAGTGACAATCTACTGCCCAAACTTGACACAATTAGAAGAAGTTAAGAACAACAAAAATTACATACAATTGAAAGAAGTCAAGTACAACTAAATTATTTAGATGTATTGAACATTAAATAAAAATAAAAAATAAATAAAAAAATAAAAAATAAAAAAAAAACCCAGATTTTCGTTATTACTCCGTAGCTTACATCATTCACCAACACCAACCATCATCGTCAACACCAACTATTATACACCATCTTCCTCCCTTAATTCACACCCAGAAATTGAAGACCCACTATCAAGGAGTATCAACCACCATGGCCAAGCCACCTTTGATTTCTTTGATTATAACCCTGAAAACGAAGACCCCTTCACAAAATCGAATTATCTACCTCCACAATAACGAGATCTACTGAAGAATATAACGCAAGTTAGAGATAAAGACATTGAAGAATTACAAATGAATATATGGAGATTAGAGATTAAGAGGATAACTAGAGAAAGAGAGAGGTATAGATAGAGTTTAGAGGAAAACTAATGAAAGAAAGAGAGGAGAGGAAAACGGCTGTGTAGAGGGTAAAGTTTGAAAAGGCAATAAACTATAAAACCCTAACAAGTAAAAGCTGAAGATTCCAGAAGGAAAAAAAAATGACTTAACGGGTATTTCGGGTACCCGCGAGCTACATAGATCGGCCCATGACCCGACCCGACCCGACCCGACAGCAACATAGGTTTCCCAGGTCGGGTACCCGACCCGAAAACTGACAATTTTTTAAAAATTTACACGGCTATTTTACACCGTGATGGGACAACGGGTCGGGTCGGGTATTTTTGAACACCCCTACCAATGAGCGGATGACACATGTCCTCTAAAGAGAGGTCCAAATGGACTCTCAGATGGGAAATACGTGTCATCCGGATATTCCCCCTGGGAATGGTGGCCTTCAAAGCCTAATTCCCAAGCGGCACCGCAAAATGGCGCAACCCTAATCCCTAGGTCATCAAACCCTAGGGAATGACACAATTTCCTAGGACCCTATAAATAGGGAGATTCCCCTATTAATTGGGGGACCTTGAAACTTTCCACCAACACGTCTTAATCATTTAAGCATTTATTACTCTCTGAAATAGAGAGCACCTGAACTTAGAATCCGAGAAGATAACTTACTTTCCGCACGTTTACTTCGATTCCGTACTAACTTAATCTTCGGAGGCGGACCACAACCCATTCGGTGCTCCATTTATTTTGTAGGTATAGGCGCCCTTGCTGAATCCAGTCTTTGAGTTGTAACTCTCCCGAGGGACACAAAAATACCCTAAACATTTGGTGCTGTCTGTGGGGAGAGTACCTCTAAGATGGCTTCACAAGAACCTGTGCTGCCTTAAGAGACTAATCGGCCTCCGGAGGACATAGTGGTCCAGACGGACCATGATTCTGGTGACGATGGAGACATCGAAACCTATATGGGTCGTGATGGGTCCTTCATCTCTAAGTGCAATCGCCATAAAGACAAGCGGGAGCGCAATATTAACCAGGTGGGCCCAAACAGGCCTCCTAGAACATCAAGTAAGCCCTCAAGGCAACCGGCTGATCCATCCCAGGCGGCAGGGTCAGCCCTAGTCACCCGAGATGAGCTCATGAAATTCATGAGCAGCCTTAGAGGTTAAATTAAAGACCTGATCACCAAGAAGTTGTCTGCTCCTAGAAAGGAGCAGTTAGCCCAAAAGCCAGCTCCGTCTAGCAAGCAGATTTCGATCAGGGACTGTCATCTGAAACCTCATCCTGCCCCCAAGGAGAAGGCGCGACCCCAATTCGACCTCTCAAGACTCCGTTTCCCGGAAACGGTAACATGAAAGGCCATTCGGCAAGTACAGCCGGAGGGTAGCAAGAAAACATTCTCTGATGCTCGACACTACATCGAGTAGAAAAAGACCCATCAACTGTCAGAGTCGGCCTCTACGTTGACCTATCATGATAGCTCTCAGAATACATGTATCAGGCATTCTCAATCTGTGCAGGGGATCCCGACAAGCGGCCCTCGGGTCTAGTCGGGACCTCATATCATCAACTTGGCACAGTACCTGGCACCGCCATTGTACCAGCCGCCTGCTTTGCTATACATCGAGACTGCCTTCTTCGGAGGACAAGCGACATGTAACTATCAGCCTATGGACTGGCAGCTTCGTCTACAAAACCTTGGAGATCAACTCTCTGTGTTCTCAAGGGAAATAGTCAAGGCCGAACAGCCGGCCAAGGTTAAAAATGTGTTGGTTGGGACCTATGATGGGACCTCCAACCCTGAAGACCACCTTCTGGCATACACCCACCTCATGTATACAGGGGTTGGATGATGCCACATGGTGTCGCTATTTCCTAGCCACCCTAAAGGGCATAGCCCAGCAGTGGTTCGATAATCTGCTGGCTGGTTGTATTAATAGCTTCAAGACGCTTGCGTTCTTGTTTGCTTCTAACTTCTTTATGAACAACCCTGCAAAAAACTAGCCTTGATTTGGGCAATGTGCAGCGGGGAGATAGAGAAGGGTTGCGCTCCTATGTCAGGCGCTTCAATCTAGTGAGAATCCAGATCCATGGGCTGTCTAATGAGGTCGCCTATACAGACTTTTTCAAAGGTCTGAAGGACGGGTCTACTTTTAAGTATGAACTCCTGCGTAAGCAAATCTTCACCCTCCAGGGAGCTCTGCGAGAGGCAGAAGCCTATACACAGGTGACCGAAATCTGCTCCTCCAGTAAGCAGTCGGAATCAAAAAAGTCTGACCGATAGAAGGAGAGTCGATCTGCTCAGTCGTCTCCAATGCCTGAAGAGAGCAAAAAGAAAAAACAAATATGGGCTATTGATAACTCCGATCAGCCGACCAGAAAAGAGTGGAAGTCGTACGTTCCAAGGTATGAGTTCCACAAGGACAGTTGCTCCATCCTCATGGAGATAAAGGATCGCCTGACTCTTGAGAAGCCGACTCCTATAAAAGGTTCCGCTAAAAATCGGAACAAGAACAAACTCTGCCACTACCATAAGGATGTCGGCCATGACACAAATGACTGCTTCAGTCTCAAGCGGATGCTTGACCGGCTGGTCGACAAAGGACAGCTGAAGTCCTATGTGAAGTCCAAAGTGACTTCCAAGGCGAATCTGGGGCAGTCCAACTAGAAGACTCCCCAGCTTAATTTTAGTACTGAAACCGATGAAGATCCGGTATACACAATAGC